CTGGGTTTTACGGGCTTGAGCTTTTTAGAGGGACCTTTGAAAGACCGCACAAAATGTCTAAAACCAAATAAAGAAATTTGGCTACCCGCGAGGGTATGCTCTTCTGGGTTATTCGTTCTCCGCAGTCGTCCCTGCTCGCCCGAGGGGGGTGTAAAAACTCCTGCAGTAAAAACCATGTATTGTACATATCATCGATCTACCCGATAGCGTTGGTTCAAAACAGGACTAGCTGCTTAACGGTTGTGTTGCATTTTACCCCATTTCCGGTTGACCTGGTAAAATACAGAATGTTCAGCACATGACATGCCCGATGCCTGCTCCATTCATCCGCTGAGGGTCATACCACGTAAATTGATGTAAATTGCATTTGCGAAGCAAAGAAATCCATTTCAATACAAATACAACACGTATTAAAATACAGGGCGCGCAGAGACAGAGCACACAGCTTGGGTTTGGCTTCGAGAGGTTTGCATGGTACGAATAATTATGTATGATGAATGACTTTCGATCTTGAGTGTCAGGCAGTTGCACCATGTTGCTGGTACGAAAATGCATACGAACATATACGAACCTTGAGAAGCTGATGGAGAGAGATATACGAACCTTGAGTGAGCTAAGTATGGCAAGTCTCTGCTGGCGGCAGTGCCCTGGAGTTTGTACCTTTTTGGTGGGCCGTACTTCTGTAAAGCGCTCGTGAAATAGAGCAATGCCTCGCCAGCAGCGGGAGTGGTGCTTTGGAAGCTCTGGGAGCGGGGGGATGGGACCGGTGGCAAGGCTTGACCTTCGTTTGTGGCCAACGTTCATAGGCAAATGGCCGTAGGGGACCAAATGGCCGCTAGGAAACGTCGAGTTCAAAGTCTTGGAATTTGATATTAAATAAGTTGTCTGAGAGTCAATATGAGTACATTTTCGGGGTAAACAGTGTTATCATAATGTTAGTGGTTAAATAATCTATTTGAGTCCATTTGAGTTCCCCCCTGAGACTGTTAGAGCTTCAAATGAGCCTCTTTGGGATTATTGCATTCTGTGCTGCTAAAAATGTAAATGAGTAAAATCGAGTGACTTCGAAAGAAGTTGAGGTAATTTATGTTGCCCAAAAAATAACAATGAAACAGCACTTCGAAAGAAATTGAGGTGATTTGAGAAACCCCACCCCCAACAAAAACTGTGTTTATTTTGTTGATATACAGCTGTTGCAGTAGAATGAGTTCGCTTCAATTCTGGTTTCCTAATGCGCACTACGCTGCTGAATGAAAATCAGGACATGATGATTACCGGGGCCCCTTTATTTAAATCGCAACTTTACCCAGTAGATTATGTAGTATACACTTCCATATGCATGTGGCCCTGCTCCTTTTGGTTGTTTGGTTGTTTGTTCCCCTCACCCATTCTGTGAGAGCATTTGAGTGAGATTGAGTCAGAGTGAGAGCTTCTAAGTGACACTAGTCCCCCATTATGTGAGAGCATTTGAGTACATGTTGAGCAGCTCTGAGTGAACAAATCCTTGGACCGGAGAAAAAGCCATTGAATTAGTTTGGTTCCATTTGGTTGCAATTGAGGCCATTTGAGCAACTGGTCAATTAACAACTAAAATTTGCAATTGAGACAGTTTGTTTTTTTTGAAACATTTTGAGTTTTTTTCTTTTTGGTTGTTGGCTATTTGGTAATGTCTTGGCATCAAGTTTTGGACATCTCCATCAGCCACTTTTTTCATCCCAGCGAGCTGTTCTGAGCCAGCTAAAGTGCGCATAGAGAGCGTGCGAAATATGTTGAGATTTCAACATCCGAAAATGGCCCCTCAATTTATCTCAAAAAATGGCCGAGAAAAATATGACAATTTTGGTTTGGTTTAAGTGGTGCTTGAGTGCTGCATGAGCATGTTTGAAGCCTTTTGACTGGTTTTGAGGTAAAAAAAAACTCAAAATTTTGCATTTCCTCAAGGCCATTTCCTCAAGGCAGGTATTTTGTCTATGAAACGTGTCACGAAATGTAGCATAGAGTCAGCTACAGTAATGTCAGCTGCCTGATATAGGAGTGCTGAGAGTGCACAAGGCATGTTTGAGCATGTTTGTTTCATGGCAATGGCCCAAAGTATCCCAAAGTTAGAAGAAGTTGCGGTAGCGGCTTAAACTCGCGAGAAGTGTGGGGTGAATCATCTGATAGGGTATAGGTATAAGAATGCATATCTCTGCATATAAGCTCACTGAGACATCCATCGTAGAATCATATGAAGAGAAAGCACGCATCCGCATATTTGAGCAGCATGTACGGTATATTCTTAGAAGGACTTTGTCACAATTTCACACAAACTCATACGAATTCAATCAATTTCATAGTTTGGATGTTTGGCATGGGCAGTGATGCTACAGTCTGCCACTACCTCCGCAGTTCAACTTCCTGGATTCAGTAATGGAATGGAATTCATAGTGTGAGACAGGAGATAGAAACTTGATGAAACTTGTAGGCGAGTAGGAGCGAAATACTGGTGACGCAAGGTCTCAAAGAACATCAGGATGTGCCGTCCAATCTACTCATTTACTCCAGATCTAGCTTGTCGGCCAGGCCAGACTTTCTTAATGTTACAATGTAGGCAGGTAGTTAAGCAGCTGATACAGATGGCTGTGGGGCGTCCATTCCTTGGACTGTTTCTGGATGCTCCCGTCGCATTTCATATCATTTCATTCCTACATGGGAGGCATTTTAAGCCTTAGCAATTGGTTTATCATGTTAACACGCAGGCGGCTACTCTGATGATCTTTGGTGTTTGTTGTCAGCATGCAACGACCCGTTGCAGCTGCTTGGTTCAGACACCTGGAAGCATCAGAAGCGTCAAGAGGCGTCACCGTGTCAATCACCTGTCTCGGTTGTGTGTTTGGTGCGTTGAGCGCGAGACGTGCTGTTGCCAGGCAGATATGGTCCTCAAAACTAAGCTGACGCAGGCCAGTGGGTGGCCGTGTTAGATCCATCTAGATGTTGGACACGGATTGATATAGGTAGAAGGCTTCATTCGCTTGTGCACCCGCACGAGTTGCACCAGTTGCATCGCACTTGCTCTGAGCCATCAGGGCCACACTGCGCGTTCTAGCTCGCAGTTTGTTTCGTCCTCCTGCAAGCTGTACAAGTCGACGAGGATGATGATGATGATGATGATGATTATGAAGATGAAAGCAGCTGTTTGGTTTGCTAGGCCTTGGGCATTAAGCAGGGGCCCTAAGTCCTGCTCTGTTTATATAATCACGCTGGAGACAATCCACCAGAAAGGTCCTTCACAAGCTTTTCAAAGCCGATCACTCCAAGGCATCCAATCATCCAGGGTGGGTATTGGCCTCAGAGTGTTTCAAGTTCGGTGTCGGAGTCTTGCAAGATGTAGGTACGGAATGGTACGGAGCTACGCTCGGCGCGGTTTGCTATGTTCACAGTCTTGACAGCAGAAGCATTGATCCAACTGGGATAGGAAGTGGCCAAAGGAGCCAAGAGATATGACACAAGACATATCAAGACATACTATTCTGCTATGCTAGCGTAAGCCACAGATGTCCGCGGCGGAGAGCTATAGATTTCTGTCTTCACAGTTCACGGATGTGTTCTTGATGGCTTTGTCTTAATTTTGGACGCGCAGCTTTGCATAGTCAGACTGCATTCTGGCCATGCCCACGCTTCAAAGGACCCAAGATAATAACTAAGGGGTTTGGCACTGTCAGGAGTTCATCCAGAGAGACACTTCAAACAATCTTCAAACAGTGTCGAAAGCATGGTACAAACAAATCCTGTACAAGGTCCACTATCACTCCGTGATTTTCTTTCAAGAGAAGATGCATGCAGCTTTGACCGTCACCTAATACCCAGGCTCCCAGACTTGATTCCCTAAACAAGAGGTCCATGGGTGTACTGTATATGGTCTTTCTTCTGCTTGGCCTTCGGCCATCAATTTTCGGAGCCATGACTACACTGCGTTCCAATTTGCGGCACTGGCGCTTGGTCAGTTTGGCGGCTTGGTTGAACAGCTCTCCGTCAATTGTAGGTAGGATCGGCTGGACATGGAAAGAACTGAAAATTTATCAAAATGAAAGGGCGTTTGCAGCATGTCGGAGAGAGGACAGCTGATATCCGGTGTCATCACTTTGCCTTGGAATGTTGAGGTCAAGGTTCCTTGTGAAAGGAATTGGATTCCAGAACTTTGAAAACTAGTAATATTATATTATATCATATGATATTATATTATATTGTATTATATAATATTATATTATATTATTTTCTATTATATTCGTTATATTGTAATATTATATTATATATATTATATTTTCAACATAAGATAATCATGTCTGAGCGAGTCTGAGCCAAGGCTTGCTTTCTGCTGAGTATACAGTAACATGGTGGCACTATGCAACTCTTGATCAAGATATTGGTGGGAACTGATTGAAGAATGTAAAGACCCTTGTGCCCTGAGATGGGCCTCAATGCTAGTTTTAGGTTCTTAGCATGGCAAGATATTGCAAATGAGTTCAACAAACATAAAAGGATACTGTAGAAGGGCGGTACGTGCGAACTGGGCAACTTTTGCACTCTGCCACTAACAAGCGAAGTGAGCACCCGGTGATGCTGCTACGATCTGAAGGCACTTCACCTTTGTCGTGGTCTCGGCGGTCTCGCAGCAGGTGTCAGCAAGACTGGCGTCAAGAACTTCACTAGCTGCAGAGAATGTTCCATGGCCAGGAGGGATAGATGTCATTTCGTAACATGTCATTGCGTTTCAGTGATTTTAGATGATCTTAGTGTATTTCAATGTACAGTATTTCATTATATATACTTGTTTGATCTTGTATGTAGCTTTTCTGTGTTTTTCCAGCATTTCGCTTTTTTAGGCCCTGGGCAGAATCGGGCATATTATTGTAAACTGTAGCAGTGAGGTCTTCAGCAGCATGTTCGCGCATAGCTTTTTCTCCCAGTGTCAGTTAAGTGCTGCTTCCAAACTTCCTACTACCTTGTCATCATTTGTTGACATGCTTCCAAAAACTCCACGCAAACTCCGAAAACCACAGCACGCTTCATTTGAATCTGAGGATCTCTTTGGTCAGGTAGCTGAACTCTTCGAAGGTCCAGCCTTTGAAGAAGGCACGGTGTTTTTGTTCACAGTGATCCCACTAGACTGTGCCAAGCACCCTTATCCACTATTATCCACTCCTCACAGCAGGCTTGCATTGAAAGCTCACAAAAAGAATCAAAAAGAGGGGTGCTTTGTTGGAAGTCTGCCACATTGCTCTCAGCTTCAGTACACCGATCTGCTCGCCTGCAGGTGAGCAGTGGCGTGCACTTACACGCATCAAAGTGCGGAAGGAGCCAAGTATCAACTCCCCTCAGTTGGAAGACAAAGTGATCGAGAAAGGCAGGCCTGTTCTTTTTGGTTCTTTTTCTTTGGTAATCTTTGGTGTTTCTTGTGTTTTTGGTGATTCTTTCGTGTGATCGGAGTTCGGTGCTTGGTTTTGTGGTGCTACATGTTTGCGTTTGGCATGTCCATCGTGGAGGTGAAACCTTTTTCGTTGCTGAAGTACGCCGAGCCAAAATTCCCACAGGCCAATGCTACTAATATAATTACTTTATATAGAGCAAACAGCCAAGCTGCCAATGGGAAGACACTGCAAGAGTCCGGAAGACTAGAATTCAAACAAGGATCTCATACTATGATTTATACTATGCCGCGTTCATATGGCCAGGAATAGAATGTCTTTAACACATCCGGGATCCATGCAGCATCCAGGTGACAAACACCGACTATATCTCCGCCTTGCTGCCAGTAAAGGCACGCGCATGATGTCGGACTGATTCATGAAACATCTTGAAACTAGTGAAAGCTGCATTGAGGCAGGCTCTTGCTAGACAGGTTCATCGAGCACTTCCTCATAGCACACGCTTTACAGCCAATCAATGGTAATTCGATGTAATGCGTTGGCCGGCTCAAAAAAGGCGAATTAAAAGTTGCGTTAATTACTTTGCTGACTCTGTGCCTCCACCTTTGTTCAGGCTGGGTTTTCGATTTGGGCGTCGCTGGAGACTGGTGCTTTGCCCACTTTGGGTCGGAAGTGTGGTGGAGTGATAAGCTGTGATAAGCTGTGATAAGCTGTGATAAGCTGTGATAAGTAAGAGAAGAAAACTAGGGACAAAGTGGGAGACATGATGAGAAATGGGAAGAACGCACTGGCGCAGAGAAAGTGAACAAGCACCGTCTTGAGCTTCGATGTGCTTCGTCAAAACTGTTGAAACATGTTGAATCCTGATAAGGTACGGCAAATACATCGCCGAGAAAGTCTACGAAGATGAGAAGGATGAGGGCTCAAATCCATTAGGTGGTATTGGTGCCTTTCTTCAATAGTGCATTTCATGGAGTGAGAAGAAGATTGTTCAGTTGCAATTTGGCCACAGATGTTTGTTTTAGTATGTTTTAGTCTTATAAGTGGGTTGGCTTATGTTGGAAGGGTGGGCTTTGCCATATACTCATGGTAGGGAAGGAGGGTGTAACAGTGCAGCACTTAGGTGATGCCATGGGCAATGTCTTCCGGTAATGGTTCTGCAATGATCTGCCATGCCTGGTGGGATGGAGCAGCCAAGCTCTCTATGCCCGCGGCACCCGCATCCAGCGCAGAGAAAAACATATGTGCATTGCCAATTCCGGCAAGCTATCAGGTCACATCTGGTCACATTGATGAACCAAATCAAATCCTTCGTGAACTGACATATGTCCAAAAGAAGCCAGCCATTCAAAGAGCATCATGCTTTCTGTTTTCTTTCTGTCATGAATGAGAATCAGCATCCGAAACTTTTAGATCTGCTTAAAGCGCATGAAAACGCGTTCGAAAGCCCTGAAATCCTTGAAGCACCAAGGATGCACTACGTTGGCTACGCTGAGCTGGCTGCTGCTGTCTCCAATGGCGGTGGTCTCGGGACAGCCAACGAACTGAGCAACTTGCATCACTTTCCATTATGAACTATTTATAAACTATGTATATCTATTTATAGAATTTGTGAGACTACCAATTCATGTAATTTCCTGGATTATTCTTGCATGTTTACATATTTTCTTGTTTATTCTTGCCTCAGCAGTGCTGGCTTTGGCCATGCATGTGCAATGCCTCTGCCAAAGGACAGCAAGCGATATAATGTATTTCCACTTTGATGTTATAATTAATCATCATATTATCATACACTATCTTGAACTATTACAGTACTATGTCCATATATATATATAATTTATATATATATATATTACATGTGTGTGTGCGTGTGCACGTGTTTGTGACAAGATGTTAAAGAGGCATTTCGGACTTTCATTCACTTCCAGCCATACCATACCATGACCACTCCAAAGCCTTGCGCAGGATCATTACTGCACTGACTGTGGCGCAGCCACCCAGAGGGAAAGAGGCCCTGCGAGATGAGATCAGGCAAGGCAAGGCAACCAATCAACCTTGTCAGCCTTTGTTAGTTGAATAATTACCCATACATTTAGTACTGTAAAGGCTCACAGGGTACTGAACCGCCCTGACAAGCTTTTTGAGAGAAGGTTTTCATCTTTTGCCTTAACTTACTTATGGCATCGCGGCATCACTCATTGGCATCCCTACATCGTTGTCCCGCAGTTAGATCAGAACAAGCTCAGCTAATTGTACTGTAAGTTTTTGTGCCACTTTGTGCCTCGTTGTGCCTCGCCTCGCTCCAGTTCCATGGCGCTCTCTTTGGCTGTTTTGTCATACTTGGGGTTGGCTATGGCTATGGGGACTTCCAATACTTCCAATGGGTCAGTGTCCTTCCTGACTTTGGGAGACTGGGGCGGTTATGACCTCGGTGGTTTCCATCAAACGACGGTGACCACCGTGGCTAAGCAGATGGCAGAAACTGCTGAGCAGAACAAAGCCTCCTTTGTTGTGAACACCGGTGACAATTTCTACTACTGCGGAATCACCAGCACTTCTGACAAGCAGGTGGCTGATGATTTTACCAATGTCTACAGTGCAAAGTCCCTTCAGGTGCCTTGGTACTCTGTTCTTGGGAACCATGAATATGGATACGACGTCGAGGCTCAGTGCCAGCTGTCAAAAGTTCTCAACAACTGGGTGATGGATAGCAGGTACTTTGCCAAGCGCGTGGCAATAAGCGACAATCAGCACATTTCCTTCATTTTCCTGGATACTTCACCATGCGTGTCAGCTTACCGCGGCGACGATGAGTCCCAGTGGGATCCTTGTGGATCAGAGTTCCCCACCTGTGATCCTATTGCAGAGGGGCCATGCAAATTTCATGAGAACATCCTGACACAGAACTGCACTGCTCAGTTTGAATGGTTCACTCAGGCGTTGAGCAAAGTCCCAAAAGAGGACTGGCTCATCATTGTTGGTCATCATCCTGCAGACGAAATGGATGTGGAAGATTTTGTCACACCAATGGCCAAGCACGGTTTTGACTTGTACCTCAATGGTCACACCCACTTGCTGAATCAATATACCATCAACGGTGCAGGAGCTTATGTGACCAGTGGTGCTGGGGCCATGGTTCAAACAGCAGATCAAGATGTGGAGGAGGATCATCTTTCGAGCTCAACGGTACAAACCGTGTGGGAGCAAAAGGTTGCAGGCTTCACTCTTCACACCTTCTCCGCTGACTTCCAGGAGCTGAAAACTCAATTCCTTGACTATCACGGAAAGGTGCTCCACCAATTCTCGGTGAAGCGAGGCAAAGCACCCTCCCCTCCACCTCCATCTCAGGGATCATGCAAGTCCTATGGCTGCGGTCGGTTTAATCCAAGCCACACCTGCCAATGCAATAGCTACTGCAAGCAACATGGAGACTGCTGCTCTGACTTCGATTCTGTTTGTGGAGGGCGTGGAGGGCGTGGAGGGCTTGAGCAAGCTTTCGTGTAGTGAGGCTGCCTTATAGGCTGAAAGCCTTTTTTCAGACACATGCGCTCTAGAATCATCTAGAAAACAATTCAAAACCCAGACCCACAAGCCGCTTGGGCAGTGCAAATGCGAGCATTTGGTTCGCTTGACTGAAAAATGGCTGAAGTGCTGGTCATAACAAGATGCCCAATAGGCTAGGTCCAGCAAGGTGTGCCAAGTGGTCCGTGGTAGAAAGCTTAGTCTCTCTGGATATTCTTGCGCGTGCTGAGCAGGAAGTGCCGGAAATTGACTGAGAAGCCAGCATCCGGATTTGTAGGTGACGGGTTACAATTGTTACAATGATGTTTTGCTGCTGCTTCATTCCATAATTTCCACTGCAGACCCTCATTTGCGTCATGTCGTCAACGGAAACTTTGGAAGGGCGTATTACATCGTATTACAATATGTGTGTCGGGATGGGCTCCGGTGGGTTTCGCTTCGAAGCTGGTCAAAGAGTACTGTTTCAGATTCCTTGATCACCTTGACTTGCTAATTCCATCTAATTCCAGCAACAAGCCCGAGGCCTTTTGGTGTGAACATCACGCCAGGGACTAAATTTTCCGAATTTTCCGAATCGCTTGCAGTACTAGCATGTACTAGCTAGATGACCAGTCAACCGCTACAGTATGTTACAGTATCAGTAACCAAGATTCACAGATATTCACAGATTCTCCATCTTTGTTTCTTAACATTTTTTCACCTGCTTTCGATCAGATGTGGGCCATCCTTGCCGCTTGCAGGCTGCTGCCAGTCGGCGTTCCACCTGACTTTGATGGGATTGTAGAGGCCCATGTCGGGAGATGATGTGCTTATAGAATCTTATAGATATATATTATATATGTTGTATATATAATATATAATATTCATGCATACAGTCAGTATACATCTATTGAATCTATTTATATATACTTCTTGCATCTCTTCTTGCATGACACTTTGGCGTGAGAATGTTGCCAGGTGCTGATAGAGGAGAAAGTGAAGGTGGTCGAGACAGCTGGACGAAATCCGGAGAAGGTGATCAAGAAGTGCAAGGAGCCCGTCCACTAAGGGACCACAAAGTGACGCTTGTAGGATATTGATGGATATTGTAGGTGAGGGAAGGAAAGTTTAGCATAAACTTTGGCATAAACATCATAAACACTATCAAATACACTACTTTGCCTGCAATGTATGTGTGACACTGCTGCAGGCATTCTGCACATCCCGGGTTTGCAAATAGCAGTTTGTTGATCCTAAAGGATGAATGTGTTGAGGTGTCAACTCTACTCGGAGAGTATTGCCAAAAGGGAAGCGATATGAAGCGATACTCCGCTCAACTCTAAGGAGGCAGGCATGTTTGTCATCCACAAGTGCGTGGCAGTGAGACACGCGCAGACAGCGGCCAAGATGGGCCGGGGACTGAAGGTGTAAATGCTGAATGATTCAAATCGTGTGGGCTGTATGAAATTGGGCGCTGGATGCGGGGACTTAACATACTATACTGTAATGTGTTTAATTATATATATTGTTTATCATGTATAATATATATATATATATCATATGTTCTAACCATTTAATATGTGTAAACTTATATATATGTTATACAGTATCATCGTTTGTGAGATATCACACTCCCACAGCTCCAGCCCAAGTGGAACAGGTAACTGGTCATGGCTGGCATGGCACGTGCTGTTGTGCCACTGTTCCATGTTTGTTGGACTTGCACCAAGGAGCAGACATGATTTCCATGGACGGCTTTGATTGTGGCGGCCATCCAGGCCATTTCCTGGGCTTGACATCAAGTGCTGTTGGCCTTGCTTGGAGTAACGTGATTCTCTCTGTGTGTGTGTGTCACTTCTCTACTCTGTACGTCTCGCACTTCTCTCACTTCTACCACTTTCTATCCTTTTATGTGGTCCCTTCATGTCCCTTCACGTTTGATTTTCGTGAAATCTTCAGCTTATTTAACCATTCGCCTATCATTGATAGAATACGTAGAAAATTGGTGGCTGTTACAGTTTGGCCAGTTGAAGCCGCTGGCCTACCTCAGTTGACTTCAGATTGTCCAGCTTGTTTAACTTAGCTGAGATTGCACATGCGATGGTCCACGTGGATCAACTGACTTGAGCGTGTGCCGGCACCGGCCATGGTAACCATTTGACAACGGTTCTTTTAATTTTGCCGCCTTGTGGGCCTACCAAAGACAGGTGAAGAAGACGTTGGCAACTGGGTGCTTTTAGCCCAAGCTTCACAGGTGCTCGGTGTTGCTGCTGTTCGGTATTGGCAACAGGATTAGTCTTCAGTTTTCAGGGTACGGCTGCAGTAGTATATAGGAGTTTTACCCTGGAGTGAGCAAAAAAAAGAGCCCACAGCAACAATGACTTTGAGTCCGCTGTTGTGTTTTTTTTTTCTTGGACGGCTATGACTGCTCCAGGAGTTGAAGATCCCCTTTGTGGCCAGTGGTGGCGCTCCAGCTGCAAAGACCTTTTTTTGTTCCATGTGTGAATGTAACATCATGTGACCCTGTGCAGTTGGTTGGGAGCTTATCAACTACTCGAAGGCATTTGAATTCCTTGGGTTCAGATTTCAGTGTGATCATATGTGATCTGTTGAAACAATCACGGAAACATGGGCAGTCACTTCAATGTTGGGGGTATAATCGACATAATCGATCTATCCAAATTCAGGCCAACCAGGAGCACTATATCTTAAAATCATCATGATCATCATGTATCACAGGGGTTAATGTCCTGTGTGAGTTTGCGTCGCAGAGCACTGACGATCACACAAATTGAAAGGCAGGGCTAAGCTGTCAAAAGCCTATGAAATCATGCTGCACTTAACCTTACCGATACCTTACCCTTGTTATGGAGAACCGCTTAGCCTTGTAATTCGAAATTTTATCAAATTCCATCAGGTTACATAAAATTACAGTCTCAGATTACATCAGAGCTGGAGAGTTGAATGTGCTTCTTTTGCTCTTCATGTTCAAGGTGTGTCTGTTTTGATTCCTTGTTAGTGCCCAGCAGCTTCCAAGATGTAAAGACAAGGCTTCCACCAAAGTGCAGTGACTGTATATACAGAGATTGGACTTGCTGACTTGCTCTGATTTAGACCAAGAAACCAAAGACGTACGTGGGATTTTCTTGGTGCTGCAAACTGGGTGGGTAGCCGTCAGCACCTTTCGCTTCCAGTTTGGGGAAGAAATTCCAGAATCCAGGACACTTTTGCAGGATTTTCACAGTTGCACACCAAAGGCACGGCTACCGGAGTTCAACTTGCAGCAGCTTTGGCAATGGGTGTGGGGACTCGGCAGCCTAGGGCTCCATGAACCAACAGATACAAGAGATATTATATGAGATAATATGGGATGACTAATTAAATTGTGAGAAGGGTTGCGAAGGGGTCTATACATGAAAAAATCTTGGCCCATATATGCCCATATCAATATTTGTGTGCCCTAAATCAATCTGAACAGCTTGACTGCTGATTTCCCGAGATGGCGATGGAGAAAGAAAGAGAGAGAGGGGGAGAGAAAGCGAAAGAGAAATCAATTCAGATTTGTGGGCAGTGATTCGTTGGGAGCTTTTGCTGAGGAATTTTGATTCCATAAATGCAAAGTGCCCTTTGAATGAACACAATGAAGTACTTTGAAGTTAGATGTCCTTGAGCATGGCCATGCTGACCCGTTTACATTTGCAGATGTTGCACAGGCTGGTTGATTTGAGGTCTCTGTAAATTTAAATGCCACCAGTTCAAAAGTGAAAGTATGTCAAAGTGAGACATGTTGACAGTGACGCAGCCAAGGCGGCTTAGCGTCTTTGTGCTTGTGTCATCTTGTTTCGTTTGCACCTGATGATCAGCTGATCTCGAGTCCTGAAGTCCCTCAGCCCTGGGTTTGGTGAGGTGCAGAAGGCATCAACATGGGCACTCGCTTTATGGCAACCAAAGAGGCGCAATTAGATTGTGCATCTGAATACATCTGAATGAGTTTGACTCCCGAAACTCAAACGTGTCAAGAGGTCACAATGTTAGTAACTGGCAACTTTGCGGGACTCCACCTTTGCATCTTTTACACATTTTACAATGGGGTGATATCTGGGATATCATGGATGTCAGAATCCAAAGTTCTCTCTTCAAATAGTTTGCGGTGCCACAACGTAAACTGTACATGTATGTACATCTTATTTTAGAGCTGACGCTCATCGTCGGCTCCGCCGGATTGCTTGACCCTCGATGTCATCGCAGGGTGGGCTTGAAAGCTATTGAATGAGGACCTGCTGCTTCAGCTCTTTTGAACATATTCATGGAATCATGGAACTGCGTTTTTTTCTTGGAGCAAGTGGGGAAGGCTTCTTCCCGAAAGCTCCTGGGTGTAAAGGCTTCTCTGTGTAAAAACTTCTGTGTGTGAAAGCTTCCGTGTGTACAAGCTCTCTCTGTAAAGACTTCTTTGTGTAAAAGTTTCTGTTTGTAAACGCGCCTGGCGCCTGTCTGTTAAAGCTCTCTGTGTAAAGACTTCTTTGTGTAACAGCATCTGTGTGTAACAGCTTCTCTGTGTAAATGCCCTTGTGTGTAAAAGCTCGTCTGTGTAAAGGCTTCTCTGTGTAAACACTAAACACTTCTGTGTGCAAATGCGTTTGTGTGTAAAAGCTCTCTGTGTAATCACTTCTCTGTGTAAAAGCTGCTGTATAAAAGCTCCTCTGTGTAAACACGTTTGTGTGCAAAATCTCCTTGGTGTAAAGACTTCTCCGTGTAAAAGCTTCTGTGTGTGAAAAAGTTCTCTGTGCAAAAGCTTCTGCACGTAAAAGCCAGTCTGTATAAAGACTTCTCTGTGTAAAAGCCTCTGTGTGTAAAAGCTTCTGTGTCTAAGAGCGGCTCTGCGCAAAGACTTCTCTGTGTAAAAGCCCCTGTGCGTGCGTAAAAGCTTCTGTGTGTAAACGCGTCTGTGTAAAAGCTCTTCACCAGCAGCATTTATCATCATATTTTCTTCTGTGCTATCTTCTCGTCTCCTCCCTCCAGCTTTTTTTCGGGCCACACTGTTGTCTAGTGAGTCTAGTTTCAATCTGTAATCTGTAACGGCGTTTCTTGTTAAAGAATGCCAAGAACATGTGAATTTTGTGGTCGTCGTTGTTGGTTGGTGGTTGGTAGGTTTGTGGGTTGGTGGTTGTTGGTGGTTGGTGGTTGGTTGTTGGTTGTTGGTGGTGGTGGTTAGTGGTTGGTGGTTGATGGTTGGTGGCTGGTGGTTGGTGGTTGGTGGCTGGTGGCGTGGCTGGTGGCTGGTGGTTGGTGGCTGGTGGCTGGTGGCTGGTGTTGTTGGTGTTGTTGGTGGGTTGGTGGTTGGTGGTTGGTGTTGTTGTTGTTGGTGGTGGTGGTGGTAGTGGTGGCGGTTTTCCTTGTTGTTGAAGGGTCAAAACCCTTATTGCCTGGCGCGCTCCCCCTTGTTTGGCCGGGGTCGGCGGATAAGACGTATGTGTATGTATGTGTATATATAATCACCACACCTTTAGGCTAATTGCAAGCAGGGGGGCGTTCCAAAAATGTAGATTGCAATTTTGCCCCCTCGGAATTTGACCGCAGGGGTCATGCTAATTGCAAGTGTGGACCCCCCCAACGTCAGAAGCCGAAGCCTAAAGTTTTTACATTTAGAGAGGGGGGGGGGATGAAAAATAAAAGCACGTAAGAGACCGGTCACCCCGTACCCCGCCCCCCGAACCCCCCCGAACCTACCCCCTTCGGACATTATGGAAGGGGGGGGGGAGGGAGGTAACAATTGTAAAATATCTGACGAATTGTCCGAAAACAGTCTCCAAGAAGTTTGCAGATGTTTGTAATCAACCTACACCAAAGGTCCATATTTCCTTGCAGAAACAGCTCAAAGTAGATGATAAAATCAAGATAAATCCATGTAACCATCCTACATCTAAGGTCCTTATTCACTTTGAAATTTGATGGGGTACATTTGAGGTCCATTTGAGGTACATTTGAGATATATTTGAGATCATTTAGGTGCAGAAATGGCTCACTTTTTTTTTGATATGACTTGGCTCTGGAAAGCAAAGCCAGATTCTTTGCCTCAATTTCAAGTAAGCATCCATTTACAAGTGGTGTTCTTATATACACTGCAAAGCAGTGAAATGATGGATCTACCATGCATTTCCTGGTTCTGCAGGGGTTGAAGCTTACAGTCAAACAGGATTACTCTCCAACCTACATTTTCCCTTTTCCAAAATCCAGTAGCATACCGATCCGATATTTTCACCTTTTTTTTGCACCTTTCTGCGACATATCCTCAGGACCTTTTCAAAGATCCCGAAATTCTTTGCTTCCCTTCCTTTCTTACATCTTTCGGGTTCCTTACCTCCTATGTGATGCTTCTGTATTGTCTTCCTGTCTCGTTTATTCTGTCATGTTTTTGGAGGGGACTGTTGTGAACCTGTTTCTGCAAGTAAATGTGGACCTTAGGTGTAGGATGGTTACATGGGTTTATCTTGATGTTCTCATCTATTTTGAGCTGTTTCTGCAAGTAAATGTGGACCTTAGGTGTAGGATGGTTACATGGGTTTATCTTGATGTTCTCATCTATTTTGAGCTGTTTCTGCAAGTAAATATGGACCTTAGGTGTAGGATTGTTACATGGTTTTATCTTGATGTTCTCATTTATTTTGAGTTGTTTCTGCAAGTAAATTTGCACCTTAGGTGTAGGATGGTTACATGGTTTTATCTTGTTTTTATCATCTACTTTGAAGTGTTTCTGCAAGTAAATGTGGACCTTAGGTGTAGGATGGTTACACGGGTTTATCTTGATGTTCTCATCTATTTTAAGCTGTTTCTGCAAGTAAATATGGACCTTAGGTGTAGGATGGTTACATGTATTTATCTTGATTTTATCTTCTATGTTTTTTTTTGAGCTGTTTCTGCAAGTAAATATGGACCTCAGGCATATGATGATTACATGATTTTTACACCTGTGCTGAATTAATTTCTCATTGGCAGGAGGCAAATTTGAAGACCTCCAACATCTATTTTTACATTTATTGAATTTCAAGGATTTTCCAATAATTTGCAAGGAATAATATACCTTCTATAAATCTATATTACATTGTAAATGATGAAAAAGTGTAGAATTCATTGAAAATAACAGGCAATTGAGGCCCTCTAGGGATACAGAATGCAATTATGATTTTATGCAATTCTGCAGCTATTTGCAGACATCCAGACTATTGTTCTTGCATTTTTTTCCATGTTCTTGCATTTGTTTCCGTAAAATGCAACTTGCAATATTGGACGCCCCCCCGGAAAATAATTGCAAGTCGGTAAAACGTGGGGGTACATAATTGCAATCTACGAACCTATCAAAATGCAATCTTGCAATAAAGACGATGAAAACAAATAAATTGTAAGCATACATGTTCATAGGTCCCCCCCAAAACAACGTCTTATTGCAAGCTTGCATTTTGAGCGTCCCCCCTCCTTAAAAGGGTGGTGATTATATATATATATATATATATTATGTATAATTATATATATATTGTTATATATATACGGAACTGTGACAATATGGTATTTGTCCAATGGAGACATCCATGGCCTTGTCGAGGCACCAATTCTTCAACCCATCAAAGACACCATGGTGAAAGCGAAAGTCACGGACTGTGAGCCGAGGGCCGAGGGTATCCGAGGGCGGGAGGGTATGGTGTTATGTGGTGTCCCCATGTCCGCTTGAAGGGTCATACATGGCGCGCCGCATCTCCTATACCGTACATTTCTATAGATTTCTCATCATTCATTGCAAGTCATAGTTTGCTGTCATGGGTTTGCTATTGGATACATCACGTTACATCATACAATACCCTGGGGAACCAAGGAGGATGTTGCAACTCAAGCTGCTATGTGATCCACCAAGACTCATGGCTGATGGGTCACGGCCATACGCTTTGGCATTTTTTGGGAAGGACACCACGCATATTTTCCGAACGCTCGGAAACACTGAGCGCGTGTACAAGAACAAGTGTGCCAAGGAGGCGAGAGGGACTCAAAGACATTGGAGTCGTGTGCCTGCTTTGTTTCAGAATGGAGGCACTGTCGAATCATTCCAGCAGCAAAAGGGCTCAAGATGTCAAGAAAGAAAAGATTGACCATGGCAATGTTTTGCAACCAATGGACTCAACAAAAAGTAGTGCGACCATATAATGTGATTTGCATGTGCCATCACTTCGTCTCAAAGCGGACCGCTTTTCGTAAAGGGTTCCCCTCTGAAAGCCTGCTAGTGACTGCTAGTGACTGCTAGTGGAGTGGGGGGAGCCATGTGGTGAGCTCTGGTGCAGCTGCCCTGAGCTGATTCAGCTGATGTATTCTCCTGATATTCCTGATGCTGCTTCGACGCGATTTGGTGGTGTATTTGTACCCCTACTATATCCCCTACTTGTATCTACTTGTAGTAGGTTAGTAGGTCCTCCGGCTGTTTGGCACATCCATTCGCAGGTTTTTTTCGTTTTTTTGGGTTTGGTCGACTTTGAGGTTTCCAGAGAAGGAGTCGGCGTGCTGCTTGGCGAAGCTTGGCCCAGTATTCAGTGCTGAATCTGAATCGGCTGAACATGTTTGCAATATTCCTATATTCACACCACATATCAATTCATATCATACAATATCAAGATTGTCATTCCTTGGCAACTCATCCAATGTGGACATTGTAGATTTTGCTGCAGGCTGCAGGATGGGATTTGTGTCTCAGGTGTGTCCCTTTGAACTCTTACGACATTGCGGCCTGTGTGCAGCTGGACAGCTTATTGTTTGCAGCCACCTTTGGGCCCCCTTGCAGGAATTCTTGCCCAAGGCAGGAGCCTTCGGATATGACGACTATAACCAAGTATTCAGTAGATTTGTGGATTGGTGTGTATACATAATATTATATATATATGTATATATAATATCATGATATTTCAGGACATGAATCGGTCCATCGGAATCTCCAGGGTTCGGCCATGTATTGCTGAGTGAAGATGGTTTTCGATGTTTTTGCGAGTTGAAGGGCTGAAGGTGGAGTGCAATATCAACGTCAGTGAAAGGTGACAAGAAGGACCATACAAGGTTTTGATATGCCTGGCAGGTGGCAGAGGCCTCTCAGAAAGGTGCTCGTTTCATCTCGTTTCAGCAGATGTCCAAAGTTCTTGGACCACGTTGCACCAACTTGCTTTCTGCCGATGATATTTCATGATGTAAGTAAAAACCATCCCCCACACCTGCATGCAACTTGACTAGGTCTCCTGCTGGCCTGGGCAGACTGTTCACAGCTATTGCGCTGCGAAGCACTGGGAGAGTGGCATGAGGAAGAACTACCACAGGCAATCGGCAAACTGCGCTGGTGATTTCTTAAATGGCAGTCAGGGTAGTAGTAGGCCAATAACAACAAACAAATAGAGCGATATATTATTGCATCCTGTGAAGGATGGTCTCCCTTTGGCAAGGGGGCTATGCACTGCCCAGATTGTTTTGTCTCGCTTGCTGTTTCAGCTGCTTTCTGATTTCTGGCATAAAGTCTTGCAATGGCACGCTTGTAAAGAAGATTTATGTGCGGCATTCACACATGATATGACAACATGTTTAGTCAAGTGAGGCATACAGTTATAGATATATATATATATATCATAGATGTCTTGGCTTCTTTCAAGTTACCGGTCGTTCAGACTTTCAGATTTAGCGAGCTGGTACCGACTGTAGTACGGTTGCTGGTTGCTGGGCTTAAGCTAAAGACATTGCTGATTGCTGGGAATCAGCCATGGACCGATGGCTTTTGATAGTGCTCTGGCCTCCTTGCGCTTGGGCTTTGGAGCTGGCTGAATGGGTGACCTCGCTTGGTGGTTTCGTGTCACCAAAGCTCGAGATCAAAACAGGTACTGCAGGGCGTGGACTGTTTGTCAGCCAGCCAGTGCAGCAGGGAGAAACACTTCTTTCCATACCATTCAATGCAATACTTCTTGGCGAGAAGGCTGTGAACTTGACGCCGTGTCAAGGCAGGATCAGTGAGTTCTTTGACACGGCAGCGCATCCTGAGAATGTTGGAACCCGTGCAACTTTCAGCATCATGGTATTTTTGCTGCACATCAGCATTGATCCACAGGCTCGAAAGGCTTGGCCACACCTGGACTTTCTACTGAATCACTGGGATGAACGGCAGCTTAGCAGATTCCCCCTGTTTTGGGCGTCGGAAATGCTTGCGGACATTGCAGGAACCACTGCGTTTGGATTGTATTCGATTGCGCGGACAGGGGTTGAGCGGGAATACACGGAAGTCCTCAAAGCAGTGTGCCCTGAATTGGCTTCAGGTTTCACTCTCAAATCTTACAAGAATATTTGGGCGCTGGTGAACTCACGCATTCTCACCTTCCCTGGAAGCCCTGAAGGTTTGCCATCTCAGCCAGCCTTGGTGCCCATCTTCGACATGGTGAATCATCATTTGCCCGTGCCTCAAAGTCCACTTGAAACGGAAGCGCAGGTGACACAGCACGAGGCAAAGAGCTTGGGTCGCTTTGGCCCCCAGCCAGCAAGGCCATCAAAGCCATCAAGGCCATCAAAGTTACATATGTGGCCACAGAGGGCCATGGAGAGCGGACAAGAAGTCACCGATGTCTATGGTTTGCACAGCAATCAGGAGATGCTGTGGAAATTCGGTTTCACTGTCCCATGGATCCACAACCTTACTTGTTTGACAAAGACTCGCTTGAGCTTGGATATTCAAAAGCTTCGAGGTGAGGGAGGTGGAGGTGGCTTTCCGCCTGATTTGCTGTCAAGACTGCAACCTTTTTTGCATTTTGAATTGGGCGGATGCCCAAAGAAGAAAAAGGCCAAAAGCGAAGGCTTGGCAGGCCACAGTCTAGCAGGAGTTCTTTCCTTCTTGCGAGCCTGGCTAGCATCAAGTCGAGCTTCATTGCCTGAGTTACACAGGTCCTGTTCCTTTGAGTCGCCCGAAGCTTGTCGAGCCTCAGTCAGTTGTGTTGCTTGTTGGTCCTTTGGTAAGGCTTTGAGGGTGGACCATTCCTGTAGAAAATCGGATGCAGCATGTGGCAGCTATGGTACCATGTGGCACTAAAATGCTGAGGAAGTCTGGACGCCATTCTGGCTGCAGTCTTCACCAGGCCAAAGCTCTGCCCGCAGGAAAAGAGATGGAGAGACCTGGCGTATGAAAACCAATTGTAAGTACTGGAGCACTCAGAATGAACACGGCTTACTCAAAACTTTGTTGCATCTTTTGAAACAAAAGATGCTGGGAATGCAAGGGTCTTTGAGTGATGATGAGCAGACACTGAAGAACCAGGACTTGTGCTGTCGAAACTTTGTGGATCTCTTTGGCTTGCATGAAAGGAGTGTTGAGAGATGTTGCATAATGTTGAAATAATTCTGCTATGTCCTAACTTGGACTTATCGGATTTGTCAGTCACAGTCAGCCACTAAGTCACTGATTCCAAGCTGAGCCCTGAAAGGATGTGCAGGGAGCCTGGTATGACGCGATCGTCATCCGAAGAGATGAAAAACATCTCCTCGAAACGCTGATGCATTGGTTGGAGAAACGGATCAAGACGCCAGGCTCAGATTTCAGAGATTCAGAGCTGAGTGATTAACGAAAATGGAACTTGTATGATATATTCCTGCGCCTTTCTTAAATGTTCGATTGGTGGCTGGCTTGATCCATTCATGTTGCCTGTTCCTGATAGTGCACAGCTTTGTGAGGACGTTGAGACAAAAGCCAGAGCTATGATCATTACGATCTCTCAGCTGCAGAAATGCTCCTCCAAATAAGCGTACGCCATTGTACGCCTCTTCTCTTTGTTACACGATGGAAGGGAGCAATGCCCTGGGTGAATCACAGCACTGCAAGCTCTTGATTCCTTGATGCTCGTCAATTTCTGGGTGACTCCAAAGCCCATCAAAGCCCAACTATTATAAGGGGTATAAGGGGACATAGGTGGTGCACATACTTGTATAATATTATTGTAGTGTAATTACCATTTTATCCGTGATGAGTACCTGGATGTGCCATGTGCCTACTGAAGCCTAAGTACCGACTTTTGGCACAGAAATAGCAAGCAGCTCTTTGGAAAGCTCACGTGCAGACGCCGACTGCGGCGTACATCAAAGCGTTGGCCTGGTCGTTGGAAGATTTTGCAAGATGTTGCAAGCTCATCAGGGGGCAGAAGCCTTCAGCACGGATGCAGAGCGTAGGAATATGACCGGCTGCGTGCCTTACATCCAAACTTATACCATGCGCAACGGCCGATGTGAGCTGGAAACTCAAGTGGGAATGTTGTCAAGCCAATGCTGTGCCGCTTGCTACAGATAGCATTCTTTGTCCCTTGTTTGCGACAGCTGGTCTTGCTTGCAAATCCTCTTTTTGCGCGGCAAATGTCCTGAATTGACTGAAACGCTTCAAGAATAGATTAGAAAGAGAGGGCATCCCAAAGAAGGATAGCAGAGCAGGAAAAGGTGGAAATCCGAGAGCTTGAGCTGTTATGTAGTAATGTTGGTTATTGTTGGTTGACGCTTCATACCAGAGCTGCATATGCTGATGGTCAGGGCGTGCCAAGCTACTTGAACTGCGCTGCAGCGTTCTACATGGGGCATGTGTTTGTGGTAGGCCTCACTGTGCTGTGCCCAAATACGTCCCAACATGTCCCAATCTCCTTTCAATTTTCCGACCCTTTGTGTACTCATCGAAGGAAGTTTAGAAGTCAAACTTCCAACAATATGGACAGATGAAAAGCAGAGCAGGGAAGAGGCAGAGAGAAGAGAAAGATTAGAAGAAAGAAGAGTAAGAAGAAAGAAGATGCAGATGCGCGAAAAGGTAGGAAAGTCGCGAAACATTGTGTTTTTCCAATGATTTGGGGCTCCGGAGGGTCGAAAAGTAGGCTCGCTAAAGCGGCGGGTGCGGAGCCAGCTGGCCAGATGAGAGATGAAAAATTGCACGCCGTTGTGGCGCGAAGCACATTTCGAAGTGAAAATGTACAGAACACACCATTCTCGGACCACTTTTGGCAGTTGAGATGTCGAAAAAGTGCACGCCGTTGTGGCGCGAAGCACATTTCCAAGTCAAAATGTACAAAACACACCACGTTCGGGCCACTTTTGGAAGTTGAGATGTTGAAAAAGTGCACGCCGTTGTGGCGCGAAGCACATTTCCAAGTCAAAATGTTAAAAACACTAGGGGTGCGGACCACTTTTGGCACTTGAGATGTCGAAAAAGTGCACGCTGTTGTGGCGCGAAGCACGTTTCGAAGTCAAAATGTCAAAAGCACTAGGGTTTCGGACCACTTTTGGAGGTTCAGATGTCGCTTCGCTTCGCTTCACTAGACGACACTAGATTACAATACACTACACTCCACTACACTACGTTACACTACACTACAATACTTTACACTACACTCCACTACACTACACTACATTACACTACACTACACTACCTCCAACTACACTTCACTACATTACACTACACTACACCCCACTACACTACAGCTACAACTACAACTACACAACTACACTCCATTACACTCCACTACATGAAATTACACGACACTACACTACATTACACTAGACTCCACTACACTACACTCCACTACATTAAATTACACTACACTTCACTACATTACACTACACTCCACTACACTACACTACATTACACTACACTACACTACCTTCCACTACACTTCACTACACTCCACTACACTACAACGACAACTACAACTACAACTACAACTACACAACTACACAACTACACAACTACACCCCACTACACTCCATTACACTAACTTACACTACACTACATTACACTACACTACACTACATTCCGCTACACTCCACTACACCACACTACATTACACTGAATGACACTGCACCACAGATAGACAAGTAGACAGATAGATAAATAGATAGATAGATAGACAGATAGACAGGTAGACAGCTAGACAGATAGACAGATGAAGGAGATTAGATAGATAGATAGATTAGATTAGATTAGGTTAGATTAGATTAGATTAGATGAGATTAGCTTAGCTTAGCTTAGATTAGATAGATAGATAGACAGATAGACAGATAGACAGATAGATAGGTAGGTAGGTAGATAGATAGGTAGGTAGGTAGGTAGATAGATAGGTAGGTAGATAGATAGATAGATAGGTAATTAGATGAAAGAGAGGGGGAGGGAGAGAGAGAGAGAGAGAGATAGATCGATAGATAAATACATACATAGATAGGTAGGTAGGTAGATAGTCAGAGAGAGAGAGAGAAAGAGAGGAGACCTCAACCACCTTTCAGTCCATCAGTGGCTTCGCTCTGCCATCGCTGATTCACAACAACCAATCTCTCCTATAGGTTTCCTATTTTTGAAACTTCCGCCACCGCCTTGCGCGGTACTACTGGTAACTCTGTATGACCATCACGATGTCGCTTCAAACACAAGATCCAAGCCCAAGCCGCATTGGACAGATGATTGGGTTCCTTAGCATCGTGCGTTACCCTATGCACTTTACGTTCATTGATTGTGTTTTATTGTGCGATGCATCCAACTTTCGAGTTAGCATGAAGCAGTTGTCCCAGAATACTGGAGGTGGCCGATCCCAGATTCTGGGGCATTGCGTGGCTTTTGCCGCGGCACTCCACCTCGAAAAAAGGACCTGGCGACAGTTGCCGCCCCTGACCTCTGCAAGGCTCGTACCGACGGATGAAATGTTGAAACAAGACGGGAAAAAATGAAAAAATAACTACTGAGATTACATAGTTTCCTCTCCGGGCCGCGGGGGCCCCACCTCCGCCTCTGAGAGGCTTTCTGGTGCGGGTGCTCTGCACGTGTTCTACTTTTGGCATCCCTCATTGCCATTTTTCCATTCGCTCTTTTTTGCTGGGACTCCACGGGTATCACCTCAGGGCTCACTTCGCGTATAAAGTGGATCTTTTGCACTTACAGTATTGAATTAATTCTCTTCTTGTGCGTTACAGGCTATCACAAGGATCATGAGCCACGCTTCAGCACTATTGGACACATTCAATGTTCTCACAGTGCAGGCTCGGGATACAGATAAACATTTGATTCCAGCAGTGAAACGCTGGCGTGACAGGAGCCGTGCTGCAGCTGTCGGAGTGAACGGAAGCTTGGTAGCCCCTTGGCGAATGGTCTTGTTATGTTTTGTTTGTTTGATTTTGTCTGGACGGCCGCACTTTGCAGTCAACTGTGCTGAAGTGGGCCCAAATTTGCCTCGGTCACCTTCGGAGAAATAGTGCATATGTCTTATTTCACTGGAACCAGAGGTCTTGGGTGGGCTCGCTCAGAACACTCTAGACCTGGTGGAAGAGCTTAAAGTGTCAGGCAGAGGGTAGGAATACCATGGCATGAGAGCGCGTTGGCAGTCTCAACATCAGCATAAATAAAGCAAGTCTGAACTGAACTGATTCAAAAGGAAAATTGCATGTTTCAAGAAAAGGAATGCATATGTTGCGGGAACTCTGCCTGTGGACAAGAATACTCAGGGTTGTTTGAAATTCGTGCTAGTGCGTCCCAAGCAAAACAACATAGAAACGTGGAAACTCTTGTAGTCCAGAGGAAACTGAATTTCAAAAATCCTGACCATTCCCTCAGCCGGATAGTTTGGATATGTCGAGGAAGTAAGAAAAGCTCCACTTGAAGTCAGAGCATTTTGGCAATGCATGTGCCGTCATACACTTTTTCACTGAAGTTTCGGAGGGGGTTAGCGCTTGCCGTTCCCAGCTTTTTTGAGATACTGCTGCGCGCGTTCGCTGGCGTGCTCGCCCACGACTTCCGGAACGCCTTTGCCTGGAACTTATGCAAAGAAGCCAAATGCTGGTGGCGAAGGTGTAGCTGACGGTAGCAAATTAGCTTGGTTCATCTTGGTTCAACATTTACGCACTCCTGCAAATCTTGACACTGCATACACCAATGACGAAAGTCCATAACATAGGCCATGTACTTGGACCATCTTGGACCCACCTACGCGGCCTTCGCAAGACTGAGGTGATTGCGTAGCAATTTGCCTTGAGGGCGACCAGGAGTTGGCACTTTTAGGTCATGCTGATAATGCTTGTGGTGCATCTCTTCTGATCCTAGACGCATCCGCCGTTTGGAGATCTTTGACACTGCCACGGCGGCGATCCTACGCCAGCTTGGTAGCCTCCTCCAAGTATTTGAGCCTTGGCTGTACGAGAGTGCTTGCAGATGTTTGCAAAGGGTTTCTAAGGGTTTATTGATGTTTATTCTAATTGTACTAGACTTACGGTGTCTCCTTTGGCAAAGCCTTGGCTGCCATATCACGACATGTCTAGACATATCAAAACCACTTCAGCCCCGTTCCTTTCACCACGGTACTGTACTGATGCAACCCATGCAGGTTCATCATCGGAGGAATGGAAGTGGACAGGGACGTAGGCTTCGTGGATGTCTATGACCTCTGCCTGCGCAGCTGGAGCAGCAAGTTAACTCTTCCCGACCTGCCACACGCTCGCAGTTCTGCACTTGCATGCGCTGTAAGCGGCCGCATCTACGTGCTTGGAGGAGACTGGAGAAATGTAACAAGCTTTTGAGTTTCTCCATAATTAGCTCCTATGCTTGCAAAGGCTTGTGACGTGTTGAAGATCCGAAAAATATGCCCAGTTATGCCCAGTTTATGTTTGAAATTAGTCTAAATGCTTGCTAGGCGCAAAGATGCCCAGAAAAGATAACCAGGCTAAGGCTAGCTGGAAGCTGCTTCTGCTGTTCCGGATGAATTCTTAGCGCGTGCTGCAGGACTTCAGTTTGGCCCTGTGGAGTACGTGGAAGCCTTAGACCTTTGGTCATGCCAGTGGAACCGATATCCCGACCTCCCAGATAGATTTTCCTCGAGTGGCTCGGCCATTTCTGCACTGGTGTCGAAGTAGTCCTGGTGTGATTCTGCTCCAGGATCTTTAGGCACCCGTCTCCACACTAGGGCAGGGAGCTAGAGCAGCGGCAAACTCTTCCACGAGGACTGCGACACAAATCCAACTAGCACATGGATCCGCCTGTCCTACCCTTCTGCCTGTGGATAGGTCAGGCTTCCAACGCTGATGTTTCTTCTGCCTGTTCGGGGCACGCTTTCAAGATGTGAACCAAGTCTTTCCTCCAGACTACTCCAACGACGGCAAGTGGTTTGTGCCATGATTGTGCGTGCAGCATAGACTGCCGCAATTTGCAGCATCACATGACAGCACCTTCTGGCCTCAATCCGAATCGATGGCAGAGCAAAAGTGGTAGTGCTGGCTGTGGGCTGTTGGTTTAGGTCGAGTTGCATCCCAATTTTTGTGGATGGATTCGGATGGATATTGTGGTGGAGATTGGAAATTAAAGATTATACATTTACACTGGCACATTGATGCATACAAACATTAGATTGAATGCGTATACGGTATACGTATACAATATACACGTTGACTTCAACGTATTTTCGTACAATGATTGGAGATGATTGGAGTATGTCGGAACATTATGCCGGCATATGTAGCAATGAATGAGATGGAACAAATGTTTCGGGTGACAAAACCAATGGGAAAGTACAAACTTGATGAATGCTACTGATGATGATGATGATGATGCTGATGCTGATGCTGATGCTGATGCTGGTGGTGCTGGTGACGGTGGTGACGGTGGTGACGGTGGTGACGGTGGTGACGGTGGTGACGGTGGTGACGGTGGTGACGGTGGCGACGGTGGTGACGGTGGTGACGGTGGCGACGGTGGCGACGGTGGTGACCGGTGGCGACGGTGACGGCGGCGACGGCGGTGACGGCGGTGACGGTGGTGACGGTGGTGGTGACGGTGGTGGTGGTGACGGTGGTGACGGTGGTGACGGTGGTGACGGTGGTGACGGTGGTGAGGGTGGTGAGGGTGGTGAGGATGGTGAGGAGGAGGTGGTGAGGATGGTGATGATGGTCATGGTCATGCTGGTGCTGGTGCTACTGCTAATGCTTCTAAGGACAATAACTACTCGTAGCATAACAATCATGATGATCATGGCACTTATGGTAAACATGATAATCATATATAATTTAATCATGCTTATAATTATACTGATAATCATGCTGATGCTGGTGATGGTGATGATGTTGACGATGCTGCTGCTGATGATGATTATTATTATTATCTTATCATGATTATGAAGAGAAGGAGGAGAAGGACGATGACAGCGACAGTGTTTCCAACAATGGAGGGCCCTTCATCGCACACAGCTGCACAAATCCCACTAGAACGTTTCCATTGCCGCTAAAATCCTGGCCAAGATGCAAACATGTCAGGTACGCGAGATTGAAGCGAAGAATCCAGGGGACCGTTCTGGGTTTGCTAAAGTGTCAATAAGTTACTGTAGGCATTTATGTAACAGAATGGGGCATATTTGTGCAGATGAAACAACTAGGAAAGTGTTTTTGCATTCCGCTTTTATATTGGATGATTTCGGCGGTTTTGCTCAATCAATGTGTTTGACATCATACAGACAGACCTTTTACATCCTTTTACTGTGGAATTTCAGACCAAAACAAGAAAACCTGGTTTCAACACTGAAATTTGAGTATGGTTCTATGATGCAGATCGCAGCTGTAACAGATTCCATCCTGATCTATATACTTAGTCAGGATTTCTTCGCGATTGCGCACCTGGTGAAAGGCCTCTCTGTAAGCACAGACACAAGAATGACATGAAAGACCTCGAGCAGCGTGCAGCATGCGGCATGTGGTGCTTTGTCACTACCATTCCCCACCAGGTGAGAACTACAGGCAGTCCTTCCAGGCCAGACTTTGACTGCCTGGGAGTGGGTGGATGTTTCTGTTGAGACACCTTAGGATTTTGGACCTCACAACTCCAGCTCCACACAGGAGACCGGAGATGCTGAGAGTTCGGCCTGGTCGCAGCCTTTGAATCCCCACCGAAGAGGTCCACAGTTTACTGAAGAACTGCGCATATACGCTGGCAATTGCACACCGCACGCCTGGAGTTGGTGCGCGTTTCCTCAACTCTCTCACCTGCAGAATGAACAGTTGGATGGGGCCCACAGCGCTAACAGGGGAATCTTGTCATTCTAGTGGTGTTTTAGTTGCTTGAAATAACCTTGGATCAATCACAGTCTATTTGATCTCCTCTCTTCGGTAACGAATCAAAGCAATCAAACGTGCACTCCTGTCAGCATCTTTCAGCTATGGCGGAGCTTGGGCTCGGCTAGGTCGGCTAGGTATCAAGGGTTTCTTTCTGAGTTCATCTCCAGGTCGTGCGGTCAATCCATTGGCCTGATCAAGGACATTCCCACTTGCCAGGACAGGTATCAATCAAGCATCCACATGATCCACATGAATGAATCATGTCCGCGTTCAACTCCCTAGGCACCAAGAGTGCAGATGGTCTCAGATGGCGTCATTCTTCATCCATTTCATCCATACTTCATCATTACCAGAGAGTCTCCTCATGCAGAAGTCAGTTCAAACATAGTCAAACACTTCTCCCTTTGTCCCAAGCAGCTTGCAGGAGCTTATGGATCGTTTGGTCAGTGACTTAGACCTTCCTGTGGAGGTGTGGCCCCACTCTTTGAAACTTTGCCAGCAGTTAAAAGAAATGCCTTGCTGATCCTTTTTGATCCTTTATGATTCTTTCTGAATTTTGACCTCTGAGGTGGCAGAAGCAGAAGACATTATCCGAAACCGCTTGCAGTCAAAACTCTAGACTTGCTAGATTTTTGTTGCTTTGAAATCTTGAGCGCTGCTGGCGAGACTGGTCATTAGCTTAGATTAGATAGTGGATAGCAGATAGATAGATAATAGATAGATAAGATGGATGGATGGATGGATGGATGGATGGATGGATGGATGGATGGATGGATGGATGGATGGATGGATGGATGGATGGATGGATGGATGGATGGATGGATGGATGTGTAGTGTGTATCATGCATATGGTGGATTCTCAGGAAGTGCCCTGGTTTTGGCGGAGAATCTTGCAAAGTCTCACTTTTGGGGTAGACATACATGCCTGAATCCAGGCCTAGGCAAAACCCAAGAATGTCGATTTGATTGTCATGAGGTATCTTACTTGTAAACTCATACGTGTTCACACCCTTGAGTTGCCTATGCTTCAGTCATCTTCAGTCTTCCATTCGGATTTCAGAGCTGGGCTTGCTGGAAGCCCACCAGCACGTTTGGCACGCCCGGCACATGGGCAGAGCTTCATGGAACCATATGGAACCCATGCTTCCAGCTGTGAGGTCCCATTTGAATCAGGCTGTGGATCTGTGAAGAAAAATGGTTTCCTTTTGTCAAAGCATTGGATTTTGGGCACCCTTTGCCCTTTGCAATTAGAAATGCATATTGGAACATATTAGAACTCTAAAGTGGCACATCCCCTCTTTTCTTCTACGCAGTTGCTGGTTGGCAAGAGCAACAAACCCGAGTGATGAATTTGTCCACATGAGTCAATCAAACACCACTGTCCAGCGAAATTGCCCATTGCCATATGGAGCCTAGGGCTAATTGATCGAAGAGACTGAAGAATGTTGAAGCGGATTGTAGCGGCTTCCTATAGTTGTTGAACTGTTGAATTTAGCTTTTGTGGGACTTCGCAATGAGCAGTGTATATGCTTTTTGTGCTTGCGCTGCTCCTTGCAAAGACATGGTGGCATAGACTGCTTGGGCACGTAGCAAGAATACTTGCAGAAAGCCAGGCAAAAAAGGCTCTAAAGTTGATGTTTGCTGTGAGGAGAACATGAAATCGTATTGTGAGATCCGAAGATTTCTTAATTTGTTCCAGCGAAAGAGTGGCAGACAGTGGTGATGTAGTTTTGGTCCCAGGGTATCTGGGTGTGCGTGCGACGCGAAGCCATTGTCTCAAATCAGACTCAGCTTCTGGACACTATTTTTTGTACGGGTAAAGTATGGTTGCCCCGATAGGTTGAGTTGCACATCATGCTCCGTACAGCAAGTGCACCAATCAACTGGGTAGCCATCGGTAGTTCTAAGATGCCTTTGGGCCTTTCACCTCACGCTGTTGATGTTTTCACAGGACATTTTACAGGTCAAAGATTCTCAAAGATGGTCAAAGCCATGGCGGCTCCTCTCCGGAGATCCTTGACCAATGGATGAGACGCCCTGCCTCCGCAGAGCAGAGTAGCGAGCTCAACGAAAGTGCCCGGCCTTGAGCCACATTGAGATCACATTGACGGGGAAGCGATGCAACACAAACTGCTATCTCTCGCATACTCTCGCCATCTCCAAGGTCGCAGAAGAGGTGGGGAGGTCTTAGCATGTTCAAGAGCTCAAGCAGCTACTCCGTGAATGATCAGAATGATTCAACATTGTGACAATGAAAATTGATGAAGTTGCTCGCGGTTTTGGCATGACTCTGCATTCTTTGCATTCTTTGCCATACTTGCACGCCTTGTACACTTCATCTCATGTTGTCCTAGGCCACCGCGATGCTCCCAGCCTCGTTGTGCGCCCATCATTGCCATGGAGTCGCGGGGCGGGCGGGTACATGTGCTCAGCTGGTGTTTCCAACCAGATTTGATCGCTTTTGATTCAATTCCACGCTAGAAAGGAGGCCATCCGCAAGACCCTCAAATGTCAAAGCTAACGTGGAAGATTTCCCTTTCCGCCCAAAAAAAAGATGCATTTGACATGCCAGAGTTGCACAGGACCCGCCTGCTACCAGAAGAAGCTCCACCAAGATCAGCAAGGGATTGCAGGCATTTTGCAGTGAACGGTGCGAACATGCATCATAGGTATCAAGGGGCATTCTTTGAGTTTGTTAGCCAGCCAAAGAGTGCAAAGTAAGTTGATTTAAGCATCAGACAGAATCAGACATCTTAATCTTAAGGCTTTGCATGTGCCATGGATAGCAGTCCAATTTAGTTCAGCTTGCATTGGTAGCATCTTGCACATTTGTGATCAAATGTGCAGTGTGCAGCGAAGACATTCGGTGTTTAAGTCCACTCCTATAGGAGCCACATAATATGACCTTGCACAACTTGTCACCACTTCAAATGTATTTTCCTTCACTCACACACGCCTTGAGCCGTTGCTGGACAGTAAGCCAGCATTCTAAGCGCAAACAGACCCCTGCAGCCAAGCACATGTTATGGGCCAACGAGCTAACTACAGGTCAAAATCAAAAGAAGACTGCCAAAGGAGGCCAACTCCTGCCCGTATCTTAGAATTTTGAGCTGCAAATCACCCTGACCCTTGGTGCCTGCAATATGCATCAACATGCCAGCCTCACTGCACTGTGAATTGGGTATGTTTGTCCAACAGAAATTCCATGGACCACCATCTCAACTAGGTATTTTTTTGAAAGATTGTTGTACTCTCGACTTTCACCAGCACAATTGTAAGCCGTCAGTTGGTTTGGGCATGGGCCACAAGGTTACACTCTCCAACATAGGGCGGAAGCCGGGAATCCCTTCCCACTGCACCATCACCTGACCTAAGGCGACCATGGCAGCCGAGACTCTCTTGCAGCAGCTCCAAGAGGTACCCTAAGACTCCGGGAGACTCAGTAGGCTGTTGTAGGCTGATGTTGGCTGGCGCATTCAGTATCCAATCAAGATCAAGCAAGTATAGTACCATATAGTATCATAAAGTACTGTATCAAAGAGAATCATACACTATGACTATCACAGTATCATGCAGTGTCATGTTATAGATTGTTATAATGTTATAATTATATATATATTGTTATAATTGGCATATTCTATTAAATTACTAAATCCTTTCGCGGAAATATTCACGTGTGTGGAATTTGACGGAATTTGTGATGTGATGTAACTTAATAATGTATGCAAATCGCGGCATGTTGAAATGTATTGTGGACAACATTAAGAAACTCGAGTTTATCTTCAAGTCGTAGTTTCCACTGGAAAGATCTCAAGAATCTCAAGCCGTGAATCTTGTGACTTTTCGTGACTGTGACACATTTGATGTTGGCAGCTCCATGGAGCTGCGAAGCCACGCTTCCACGGCGGAGTTCAGGCCCTGGCTGCAGAGAAGCTGTCGAAGGCAGAAGAAGTTCAGGCAGCCGCGTTGATCCGCTGGTGATCCGCTGTTGATCCGCAGCTTCCAAGAAGTTTCCTCGCATTTCCTCACTTCCCCAATTTGGATCCAGGTTTTCCATGTTTTGACACTCTTTGTTTTGATTTGTTGATATTGTTTTGGTCGGTTCCCGAGGGTGTAGTATTGCAACTTCTTTTAGCCATTCTTTGCCTAGTTTAGTTCATGGGTCCCAATGCAAACATTATCAAAATCATCAAAGGAAGATGTTCGGGGCGGGACCCTTTTCTAAAGGTTGTGGTTCTGAGGTGTTCTGAGGGGCTGACTTGAGTGGGAGTGCCGTGAGGCAGTGGAGAGAGAAATGCAGGCGAGCCATGCCCGTATGCATCAAACGCTTGGGCATTTTCGAAAGGTCTGGGTAGGCTGAGGCTGAAGTATGCTGAAAATGTCCAAACCATTTGGCAGAATCATCCACGATTGTCTTTTAGTTGGGTTCCCAGGTAGGCCGGGGCCGGCTAGTATAGCACATGCAGGCCCGGCTGGAGTCTTCAGCGATACGTTGGAGAAATGAGCTTGAGCAGCACGAGGCGTCACATCATGTCACATCGCTGCAGAAATCTTCACACTCCGCAAATGGAATGTGCAAATCTATGCAAATGTATCAAACGCATTAATATTGACACACTCAATGCTCGATCATCAAGCGAGTTCTGCCAAGTTGGAATTTCTTGGCCTCGGGTGCAGCGCAGCAAGGTTTTCTGGAGCTCAGAGCTCGCTGCTGAGCAACAACGGCATGAAATCATAGAAGCAGGCCTGCCCGGCCTGCCCGGCCTGCCCGGCCTGCCCGGCCTGCCCGCACCCCATGACGATCTTCATGAATTGAATATAATTGAATGTTTTAGGTCGTTGGGCTGATTGGCCAGACTACCAAGTTCAAAGGTTCATAAAATCTGCGTATATAGTTTGGCAAAGCAAATAGGTTTTGAGACTCTCAGCTGAAGCCGCCAGGTTTAGAAGCGGAGGTGATCTCTTTGAAGTTTGAGGTCTGTATTTGGAGTGTGCGATCTTGGGAAAGTGTCCCACGATCTGGCACACTCAAAGCATCTCAAAGCTTCATGTTGTCACAATGGAGGAATGAGTTAGAATGAGTTAGACCAGCAGAGAAGCCGCACTGGAAAGACATGGGAGGGAGACCGCTGGAAACTGTCTATGGTCCATTGGCTACTTGTTCTCGCAAAGTGCGAGGCAGAAGATTGGAAGCTCAAGGAGGCTGGAAGCGTTTGGCAGATGTTGTTCTTGTCCTCTCGGATTCAGTGGAGTTTAGTAAAGTATGGACCGTTCACATCCATTCTTTGCTTATGTTGCCACTTTGCAGCTCAATTTTTCCTACACAGAAAAATCAGGACAAGTTGTGACATGCCAGAATCACCTTGTGTCAATCCATTCCCCAGGGAGCGGAAATGGCCTGCAAAGATCAGGCAGAGGCATGGTGATGCACCAGATATTGCACCATGACGTTCTGCAGGCGTTCTATGTTCGCAATGGAGTTCAAGACAGTCTCAAGACAGTCTCAGGTAGAAGGGGGGAAAAAGTACGAAGGACTAAAACGACGGCAGAGAGTCCGTGAGAATCGGTATGGTAGCAGGTTGAACACAGAACAGGTCATGTGGTAGCTGAGGCCTCAGAACCAACACATGTCTCTTGAGATCTCTTGAGCTTGTTGAGCCTTGTGCAGTCCTCCATTGTCTCTTTGCAACTTCTGTGCGGAGAGCAAAAGGCAGGAAGCGAAGAACTGAAGGGAATGCAGGTCTAGAAGAATGGCCGATGCTGTCAGAAACGACTTGAAACGTCTTACTGATCTTACTGTAGCAGAACTGTGATAGTGCCACAAGAGTCTGATATGCAGACATAATATATTATAAATCGTATACATTTTACATGTTATATGCTATAATGCTATGCTGCGCATTGCGACCATTGCGTGTGTAGGGGGTAGGTGGGCATAATGAAAATCCATGAAAATCCATGAACATCCCATGTGTTTCAACATGTTTCAACTGGTTCTTGGCATTTCTTGGACAGGTTCAGCTGCACCACCTCCATGCTGAGGTGAGCACGTTCGCCCTGTTGAGCCCAACATGGTAACGTGTTGTGTTTTTTTTGTTTTTTCGAACTCATGGTAACAATTGGTAACGGCATGCCCGCAGGACCATGGGTTCTAGCATACCATGTTAATGTATTTGGTGATTTTGGTGGAAGACTTGCTCAATCTAGCAATGTCATGACCTTATGGCTATTGTAGAGTGTGTTTACATACTCTGTCACCCGCGTAAAGGAAAAACACGTGCTTCGTCCACCGAAGCTTGTTTCAGACTAGTGGATTTGAGAGAAGCTCTTGGTGGGCGTGCTTGCTGGGACAGGCAAAGGCAGCTGCAGATGCAGAAAACGCACCGAGTCCCAAGTTGCCAGGGGAATGGCCACTTCAGAAGAAAAGCTGGCAAGTATCAGTTTCCGCAGGAAGATCTCCCCTTGCGCCTCTTAATCTTCAGTGATGCATTGAAAAAATGAAAAATACTCGATTGAGGGACATCCACACAGAGAGGAATGGCCATCGTGTTTATCATTACCGTTTGGGAGTTTGGAATGTTTTGGCAAGTTTCTTATTGCATTTTCAGGTAGCGTCAGAGATTTTGGCAAGAGATGCACCAATAGGATCCAATAGGAGGTTTGATTTCAGATATTTCTGGGAGGACCAGATATGTCCAGGCCACATCTCGCTTGGAGATGTCGCTGGCGGAAGGTTCCCGCCAAAGTTACATGCAATCAACAATGCCATTTCCAACAGGATCGCGAGATTGATGCATGAAGTTCATGGTAAAATTGGTATAAATTGGTGCTTCTCAAACCTAGTGCTTACATGAGCTTACCTCGCACTATCTTGCATTAAATCCAGGTGGTACAATCGGTTTGAGGACTGTTTGAGCTATCTCATCTCTTTGTGTAGGTGAGCGCCTTCGAAAGGAGGCGTTTGACCTTCGAGCCCGGCTCCTATACTCAACAATCCTAACAGTTATTGGCAATTATTCACGGGTGCTCTTAGAATGACATACTACTAGTAGTATTATTGAAGCTGATCAATTTGATCGTTTTTGACACACCCTAAGAAGTGCTTTACAATTGGGTGAGGGGTTAGAGTCGAGCCTTATTGCAGCCAAGCTTTGCTACAAAAGGCGAGTGGTGATCATCATAATTCTTCATGATGAGCTAGTTATCAATCGAATTCTCCACAACAGCCAGCTACGTCTTCGGATGCATGTCAGATCTCAAAGGTGACTTTGACAGCCCTCACTGACCGCTGCAAGCGCCAAGAGCAGGTCCGCTTCAGTGTCTCGAGTGATATTGATGATGATTTGTGTCAGTGTTGGTGATGCTGCACGAGAGGCATTGGCTCGTCTTCGAAACAGCAGTGTCTTGAACTTACTTGGCAGACTGCCTGCCCAAGCTCCTTTTTCTGCTTGTATGAATCGGTGTGTGTGTGTGTGTGCGTAAGGTTTCACAGGTATTGATCATACTGTCATACCGGTATGAGTTTCCTCTAGGATTTCAGGGAGGTTAACCCCCCTAAGAAGGGTTGATTTTCTGTTCTTCGAAAAGCTCGAATTTGCTGAAATGATGCTTTCGAAGTTCCCCCAATTTTCTACAGAACAACTTTTTTCAGACCTCTGAGTCGTAAGATCCTGATTTTCTGGGTAGTTTAGGTGCCCAAAATCCAGAAGCATATTTTTAGCATCTCTGGGAGTACGTGCATAGATTTTCTAGTGGTCCTTGATTTTCTAGAGAGGCACTGGCAGGTCATTACCACCAACAATATGATATTTGGATGTATTTGAGTGCGTCTGAAAACAGGGATACCCAATTTATGGCAACTTGAATGGAGATAACGAGGTTCGAAACCATGACATTCGGGGGTACCCATTTTTTATCGAAATGGGATGGAAATTCGATGGGTTGGATGTTGGGCTCTAGAAAAAGGGTAGCAGTAACTTGAAGTGGTTTTTAACATATTTGATTTCGTAATTTCAAAACTATGCAATTCAAGTAGGGCGGTGTTTTTCTAAGGAAAAATGCTAAACATAGCTTCGAAAATGCACTTTTTGCACGTTGCCATTTTTCTAGGAGACTTCAAATTGGTTTGATGTTTGTTGCTAGGTTTTCTTGGGTCCCTAATTTATACAACCTACATTTTCTACTAGAAAATCACAGGCCCCAACCTGACCCGGTGAACTCGTACAGGGATATACTGTCTATATTCTGTTGATGTGTGGGTGTGTGTGGGTGTGCGTGTGCTGCAACGGTGCGGATGATTGCGGATGATTGCGGATGCAATGATTCAAAGCATTGTTTGGGGTATTTTGGGGTCAAGTTCACTGGCTTACACACCAATTCCAAGGCCAGGAGTAATTTGCCACGTCCACCATTGGCAGGCCAGCGGGTTCCTTCGAGATAAAGAGATCATTCAAAGATTGAGAAGAGAAAGCTTGTTTTTTTTTCAACCTTTGCCAGCCTGAGCTTCGAGCAAAAACGAATGCACAATGCAAATGGGATCAACTGCTGGAACCTTCCACTGGGTGTTAGTGTGTGGGCTAAAGTATGCTAGACGCGCTTTGATGCAATGAGCAACATGTTGCCTGATGTTTCATGTTGTGCCCTTCTTGCCTGACAAATCTCATGCTGCTACGACACACTGCTTTTTTTCCCAGCATCTACCGCATTCGGTTTACACATGCATGTAAAATTGATAATATAATATAATATATATATATACCATTATTATTATTGTTATATAGATATACTTATCCGTATACCATTCGTGTTTTGGATTGTCTTGCTGTTGTTCGCTATGATTCCAATGATTTCTATCATGCAACGATACTAGGCCGCAGAGAAGGCGCACTTCGAGGCTTGGTTTGGGTCCATGCGCCAAGACAGGCGGCACCCCGTGCCACACCGACCCCTTGCAGGCCTTGCCAGCAGCATTGGATGCAAGGAGAGCATGGCGCAGGAGGCAGGATACGGAGCGAATCGGATACAGCGAGATGATGCAAGATGGTAGAAAATGGTAGTAGAAAAGAGGCAGCGAGTCATTGACGTCGAAAGCTAGCAGATGCCCACTTGCCCACCGATAAAATGCAGCGAAAAGGGAGTGAGTTTCAGCGCAACACTTGACAAGTTGCAGGCTTGCTTGAAGACTGTGCAAGAGGCAACCGGTGCATTTTGGATAGACTCTTCGGTGATCGTGATTGATTGATGAATGTACAAGAATTACAATATATGAATAAATTTGCCATACGTGTGACTAATGTGCAGTCTCCGCCGGCTGTACCTTCGCCATCAGCACACCACTCGGCAGAGTTTAACCGTTCAAGTGACAGGACGACAACCACTTGCAGACTTGGTCTATGTCAGAGGCGGCTTTCACAAAGCTTACCTGCGTAGCCACAACCGCTTGCCCACAAGCAACCCTTTCATGGCATGTTGCCACACTTGTGCACAAAGAAATGGAATGAATATGGATGAATGTAAGACATATGAATTATATTGAATTATAATATAGGCCTTAATGATGATCATATCGAGATATTGTGAGTTTGTTGCTTATGACGCTTTGATTGTTGACAAGGCAAAAGGGCATGACACAACTGTTCATCTCAATAATATTCCAAAATATTCCAAACATGAACACTGTCAACTGCCCTTGTTTTCCACAGTGGCTCAAGCCAACACTGCCTGTCCGGTAAGTGCCAGCGCCACCTGGAAACCCCAACCAGTGGCGAAGTTTCACCGGAACCTGTTTTCCAGCCCCACGTCATAAGATGTTGAAGCATGTCAGTCATGTCAGCATCCCTTGGACATGCTAGGTTTATCTAGGTTTTGTGTGCTTTTAAGAAAATGTTGCTGATGAGAGGCATCACGTAACAAAGGATCATCTAATATCACGTGGCATTTTTGAACTCTGCAAAGACTAAAACGGACTCAAAGTAGTTTCAGATCTTGCAAGTGTGCAGACACATTACAGCAAATACTGAAAGCCCAAGCTACTTAGGGAATTTGCTTTGCTTGGCTTGCATGCTGAACAACGCCATGATGGGCATGGTCACGTTGATGCTTTTTCAGGCAAGACGGCAAGACGGTTTCGTCATTTTAGGATATTTTAGGCTCGCACACGCTTGCACGCTTCTGACTTTGAGGCTTCTCCTTTTCGGAGCCAAATCCCGGTGTCTAAATATGTCTAATTGTTGATCATGCTGTCACAGCGATTGCATCAGATTCTGCAAGGCTCAGATTGTGTCCTTGGGGATCCTGACCTGGAGCGCCAAGGCCTTGTGCTTGTGATGCTTTATGATGCTTTGGATTAAAGAATGATTATTATATAAATTAAATTTATTAAAGTCAAAGTATATTAACGTGAGGATCATGAACCAGCACGAACTGGTCAGCTGCAGAGGCCATTGCAATTGAGAATTTAGTACGATCTCGAAGTAAGGTGAAATAGAATTATACATAAGTGGAAGTACTGGTAGCATCGAATTTTCCCCGCAATGAGTATCCAAAGAACTTCTGGTGGCACTTTCGAGCTTGTAAACTTAAGTTCGCTGGAGGAACAGTAGGGAACGATGAGTATTGGGAATCTGGGATGGGCTCTGATGATGTGATGGCATATGAATGTAGTAAAAAAAAAAAATGTATAACTTATTATAATTTAATGTATATGATTCATGATGATTATGTTATGATTGTATTATTTATTGAGGTTATTGGTTTGATTTGATTTGTACACCAACGAACGAGACATACCAATGTCATTCGGACGGCTTCGCGAGGTCACCTCAGACATTTGTGAGGAGGACCGCTCTCATGGAACTCTTCCCCTTTTGCTTTCTTTAATGTTCCATATTGTTCCCTATTGTTCCTTCCTGGTACTCCTCCTTTTTCAGCTTAAGGTTCAAGCATACGTATCCTTTTTCAGCTTGTGATATTGACATGCGATGGCATGCCTTCGTTTAATTTGGGCGGAAAGATGCAGAAGGGGTGATCATATCACGTCAGGACTTGAGTGGTGAAGCAGGAGCAGCAGAAGTTCAACTGCTACAGAGGCTAGAATCGTAGCTGCGACATGCTGCAACATGCCATTTCATTTGGTTTGCAATGGTTTACAATGTCAACCCAGCAGGGATCGATCCATGTCACAGAAGTCGCACTGCCACACTGATCTTTGATGATTTGATGAACTTTGATCGACTTGATCGTGTTTTGATCGTGTTTTGTGTTTTGTCGATTCTTGCGGCCTGGATCAAACGGGCCATGCCACTCTGGGACTGTCCAGGAGCCTCCATGTGCGGAGACCTTCATGGTCGCCCTTCCAAAAGGTGGGGCAACTCGATGTCGAATGATGTCGAACATACCAAACACATTTTAAAAACAAAAACAAAAACATCCCAAAGATTCCAAAACAAACAACGTCTAATCAACTTCTGTGATGTTTCCTTCGCAGAACTGGTTGTGTGTGGAGACGGGATGCCCAGCCAAACGGGCAGAGATTGACACCCTTTAAGATCGATCTTAGAATCTTTGTTTTCATACTGAGAGTGTGCACCCTGTTTTTTTTTATCATGTTTATCCCTTTTATCCCTTTTTAGATTGTAGGATTTGGTGCTCACACACGTGCCGTGCACCTTCGGTCATACAGTGGAGATGGTGCCGTGGCTTAACTTCAAGGACCTGTGTGGGTCGCTTGCCACTTTGCTTTGTCGCAGCTCAACAGCTCGACATTGAATTTTCTACCAACTATGGTGATAATGTGTGCAATTTTTTCTAGCAGGTTCTGTAAGGCTAGCTATGTCTACATGTCACTGGGTGCATATCCGAGTAAGTTGGAGGGTCACAGTGTCGTTTGCTTGGGCCGTCATGACATGGGACCTCTGGGGCTCAAACCATACTAGTACTAGTGCCAGTCATTAAATCATTGAATCAATGTATGCAATCAGTGCTCAATCAGTGTTTGTGCAGTGACTTTCCCTGTCTCCGAGGCCGGTTTGGCCCTGCCGCGTTCGAATACTGCTGCCTGGTTGAAGGCTCTTCTTCTGCTTGCTGGCTCACTTGTGGTGGCAAAGAGTGCTTGTCCTTTCCCCAATCTAATTCTATCGTAAGAAGGGCTGGGCATGCCTAAACTATGCATGGCTATGCGTCATCCATTTACAAACATTGTATATATAAACAAACTGGCGTGCTTAGCAGAAGACATGGCCCCGTTGGAGTGTCATTGTTTAGCTGTTACGTTTTTCCAGCAGGTGTGGCAATCCTTCCGTGATTCATCTCCAAAGCAGGCTTCTGGGGCCTGTAAAGCATTGTAAAGCAGTTGTGCGAGTGATGGCGAGTGGATAGTTATATAAATTCCAGAGGCCTCCTTTTGGCCTTGTGAGCCTCTGGGTCAATATCATGCCTTAGTTGACCCAGCAGAGACCACACGCGATTCATAAGTTCTCGGATCACAAGATTTGCTCTTTGTGGCGATCACAGCGGGCGCCCACCCCCGTTCGAATCGAACCTCCCAAGCCAATTTCCAGGCGCTTCAAGTGATGCATTCCGCAGGAAGCTCAGAGATTCAACAAATTTCGTCAGCCTTATCGTGTCGCAACTCTATTGGTTCGGTTTGAGCGAAGAATTTGTTTACACATCTCCGGCACACGTGTGCGCAGTCCAGCGTAAATTTACAGCTTGCGGTTTTGGATTGAAAGTGTGAACGGCGTATACTGTACGCATGTAAAATGATGACATATGTGCGTTTGCGAGTCGATTTTCTGGTTTTGATTTAGTGCTTTTCTGGTTCTGACTCATTTTTCATGTTCCTCCGCTTGCTCCCACCATCCACTTTGCGCAACATGCTCTTGCCGAGGCACTCCCAGTTGACACGCCCCTTTGGGGAATGATGGACTGGGAATTTGTGCGTTGCTGCATTGAAGTGAGATGGGTTTGACGCAAATGGCAGAGAAAGGAACCAGAATACATATGAATCATGTTGAATATGTTTGAAGACTTTCCTCCCGGAGCTTGACATAGCTTGACATAGCTTGACTAGATGGCGACGAAGGGGAGAGAGAGAGGGAGACACAGGGTGAGAGACAGTTTTATCTTGGCCTGCAGTTTCCCGTCTTGCAGCAACGGAAGAATACGGAGCACATGGGTGCGAAAGAATGCAACTTATGCAACATTATGTGACTACATACAGGCCCCGACTGAATATAGCGTACAACTGGTATGCGCGAATTAGCGGATAGTGTGCGGATGTGTGTGGCGCTGATGAACATGTTCAAAAAAGAGATACTGTAGAGTATCGATACTGTAGATTATCGCGAAAGCTAGCTTTTGCTGGCTGAAGTCCCTCTTGCTTTAGCAAGGGATTGGGGGGCTGGAATCTCCAATCGCATGAAACTTCATAGTTATCCCCCCCCCCCTCCCCCGCCCCTGGCTGGTTCACAAGCAGCTTGGCCGTGGCTCGATCCCCCGCGGGGACACAGTTGGCATGTCTCCACCGGCAGCAAAACCGGCAGCATCCGCATCTTCAGCATCATTGGCGTCGTCAACAGCGCATGCTTTAAGTCACTTGTGCAGCCTTGCTCACTATTGGCATGTTCATGGCTAGCCTTAAAACGTAGCTTCATTTTATTTCACTTTCATTTTGAGCCTTCACATGTAGTTTCCAGTCAGTTCTCACAATGGTAAGCTTGTCTTGGACATAATATTCCTTCATACAGATGCGTTTGCAAAGATCCTTCCGGAGCAATAGCACTGGCATGCTTCCGCTTTGTCTTCATGACATTCTACCTAGCTGCGCTTCCTGCATCTTCTTCTCTTGCAACTTCTAAGCCTTGAAAGGCCCACTCCGATGCTGAAGGTGGACTCTTGAATCTTCTTGATGTTTAGTGACTACCAAGCTAATGAGCGGGAGGTTCCTCATTAAATTCACGCGCGTGATATATAATCGTCCTTTCTACATTGATCCCCCTTCAATGTGTCCCGTTCGTTCTATACCAATACATGGAAAGCAACATAATATCAATATCCCTCAATACAGATGAGTTTGCAAGTATACTGGGTGTTTTCATGCCAAGCTCCCTGCCAAACTAGCTTTCGTCACTTACCCCTGGGCCTCAAGTCGAATCTTCATGCGTTCGGATGCTCCTGGATCCTTCTATGAGTTGATGCATGTTGTTTTGGGATGCAAATCCCATAGTTTGAGCGGGCGAAGAAATCCAAGCAAGCTATTCGCACTGAAGACATCTCTACAAGCTGTCAAGACATGTTAAAATATGTCAAGACAAGCACGAGGCCCATGATGCACTTGGGACATTTGGGACGCATGACTTAGGGCCGCTTGCAGCTGCAGGATCCCATTTTGCGCGGCTTCTCC